TGTATATATATATATATATATATATATATATATATATATATATATATACACACACACACACACACACACACATATATATATATATACAAAGGATCTCAGGTTAACCAACATACAAAAAACTGACGAAATGACCAAACAAATTTTGTTCATCTTTTTGTTGGTCGGACCGAGAACGTTTCAACAATGCCGTATGTATGTGTGTGTGTGTGTGTGTGTGTGTGTGTGTGTGTGTGTGTGTGTACGCACGCGCAAGCGTGTGTGTGTAAATAATTGAAGATAATTACGCTATCAAAATAGGTTTTCATAGCATTTTATTGTTGTGCATGGTCCGTTACTTGGGTGTGATTAGATATGAAGAAACAGTTTTATGACGCAGGCTGATAATCACACCCATGTCAGTAACTGCCGGTTTAGTTCGGTTGTGGGAAAAGGGTTTGGACAGGTGTGAGGTTTTAGATTTCATCGCTAATTTTAGGCCTGATTTTACAAGTATTTCTATGAGTCATTTAATCTGAACACGATTAGCCTGAAATTTAATCAAAGCTACGAAATAATTTTTGCATTTGATTGATATTCTCCCAGTCTCCGAATGGCGACTCTCTACACGAATAGATGGATGTGCGGCTGGTGCGACGGTTAGCAAGTCGGAAGGTGAAATCAGCGAGCTGATTTCGAATTCTGGCTGATTCCGTTGCGTTCACTTTCACAAATATGCAGTAGAGTAGAATGGCCTTTGAAGTAGAAATCAGCCTCGGATAATGGTTCTCAAACGATGCTGCGCGTTTCATATGTGCGGCGGACAGGATAGCAGGTGAGGCAGAAGAGGATAGCAGGTGAGGCGGAAGAGGATAGCAGGTGAGGCGGAATGAGTGAAAGACAATCAAAAATTTAGAAACAGTTTCAAAAAATTCTTATGCAAATAAATAAATATGATTTCAAAATTTAAAATATTATTATGGATTACTTGTAATTGCATGCATGAGTCCAAGTATAAATATTTATAAATAATTATTGACTGATTTTATCATTGTGATATTTTTGCATTATATTAAGAATATAGTAACTAGGCTCCTCAAATTGGAGGAGAGAGTCATAAATGATAAGTTTCTGACCATGAATACGTGGTTATCTCTCTTTAACCCACTCCCTGTTTTTTTTTGTTTTTTTAAATGTACTTTTTTTCACGAGCAAATTTTAATTCCGAAAATGCGACCCAGAAAAAAAAAATGGTAACCACTGTCTTTAGGAGATAGGAAAATCTGAAATTTTAACCTATCCTGGAATTGCACCATCCGGGCTATTTTTCCCTCGATACATCACTGCTTCTATGGGTGCAGTATATGTCTCGTGCCTCTTTAACAGAACGTGACAGATATACTTGACATTTATACTCATTGCACGATTTATATAAATCATTTTCGTTTAATTCTTGGACATTGTTCTTTGTAACAAACAGCTGAGGGGATTAAATTGGTACTTCCACGACACGTGGCGTATTTTACAGAACTGTTACCTCTATGATAGCACATTTATTTCTATGAATCTAAAAAGCTTGTTCGGTCAGCAGTTCCAAATTTCAAGATATCGGGAAAGATTCTTGAAGAAATTCATTGAATTGAGTTTATATGGATTTGTTTGTTCGTTTGTTTTGTTTTAAGGCATATCAACCTCAATGGTTTATTTAATGCCGACAAAATTTTCATTGTTGGTAATATTTTTTTCCAAAAATCTATTTTTGGTAAGAATTTTTCTTCGCTGGTTATATTTTTTTTCAAAAAATGTATTGCTGGTAATATTTGTTTTTCAGAAATATATAGCTGGTAATAATTTTATTTTTACAAACTATTTCTGGTATTAAAACCTATTTTTACACTTTCACAGTGTTTTTACTCGAGTTTCAGGGTTAACTATTTGCCAATACCTGGGACCCTAACAGGTGTTACCACCGTGGGTCAGGGTGTACTTGGGAACACCAGCAATTAAGAGGTGGTTCCACGCTCCTCAAACCCTCCTGATCAGAGGTCTTGTTTTTGGACGTAGTTTATCGTCTTACCAAGGATGCGGATGTAGTTTATCGTCATGCCACGGACGTGAGTTTATATAGAAGGTGGATCAATGGTAACGGTAATTATAGAATTTCCTTAAGGAAACATTCGGCAATCATTGACCGTGTAGCCAATTCTATTCAGATTTCGAGTAGGCTTCATTTGAAAGCATTTTAACCATTGATCTGATTGTTTAGATCAGGTTAGAGAAAGAATATTACTATTGAATCGTAAGGTTAGCGAAAGTCAAGGAAAATACTTGAGATGAATGAATATTGTGCGTATGAATAGAACAGAAACACATGAGACAAAAAATATCAAACATTCTCCTAATTTGCAGAGAATTTCTTTCCTATTCACTTTCGTTCGATGTTGCTTAATTTTACTGAGATAATTACCTGAAAAGGTCGCAAACAAGAAATGAGAAATAATAATAAAAAATATGAAATACAGTAGAAACCCTCATATCCGGAATCCCTCATATCCGGAGTGACTCATTTCCGGAATCCCGCATATCCGGACGTGATTTTGATGTGTATATTTGAACTATTTGGGTGATATGTAAGTGATCTGAAATTTCTGTTTTTCAGGAAATTTACTTTGGATAACTGTTAATGCTTATTTCACCCAAATTGGTGCAAAAGATGATGGGATTTAGAGTTATCGCAAAAAGTGGAATTTTAAACAGACTAGACGCTGGTGAAAGTTCATTAAGTAATGGCTGAGTTTGACATAAGAAAGTCAACATTGTATGATATAAAATCTTCCAAAGAAACTATACTCCAGCGTTCACACTGTCACAATGAACAAGGAAATAAAAACAAAACATGTTTGTCATGAAACTTGGACTGAAATTGAAAAAGCTATTGAAAAGTTTGTCAGTTTTATGGAAAGAAAGCCAGCATTCAGGTATGACGATTGCAATAACGTACGCAGGGTTAAAAAATTGTCTTTCGTTTAAAAAATTTCAAGAACAAAAGCAAAACAAAATGCAGAAAAATTTGAGAATGACATTAGAACAGAAAGAATCATCATGCAACAGCAATTAAAAAATCCTTGTTATGTTATTTGTTTTGCATATGTTGTATACTTAATTTAACGAATTTTCATTAACATTGCATAATTTATTTCTTTTTCCTTAAAATCAATTCTGTTATATCTCACTCACCTAGCTTATTTTGTTTACTATAAAACATTGAAAATAAATGTTAGACCTGATTTCAGTTCTTTTATTTTAATCTAACTCCACATATCCGGACTTTGTAACCAATTCCTCATAACCGGAAAGCCTTCTTAGTCCGGTTGTCAAGGATTCGACTTTAATAAAGAAACTGGCACCAAACAAGTTTGTTTCAAGTGTACTCGATGTCAGATTTTATATTGTTAGTCAATATTTTCACAATAGAAATGTAATTTGATCAACCAATTTTGTTGATGTTTCCACTTTATAATCTTATTTATATGAGTAATAAATATTGTGAGCTTCCATTCATAATATCAGTCCTTCTTTAATATATAGATAATAGTTTGTTCGTGCGAATGTCAAGTTTTATTATGCAAACAAAGTGCAACATGAATTTTATTTATAAATAAACCTAAAAGATCTAAGACACAGAAACATCTCTTTTATTACCATAAGATTCCACAAATGGCATCAAACATTAAAAACAAGGAAAGATGAAGTAATAATGTCCAGATTTCATATCGGACACTCCGTGATAACACATTCTTATATTCTAAAACAAGAGCCACCTCCAATCTGTACGGCATGCCAAGAATTACACACAAAAGAAGATATTAAGGAATTGTTGCGACTTCAGCCAAATCCGTTTAAAATACTACCGAACAACCAACATGAAAGAACTCTTTCATGACATTAATCCATATAATATTTCTTGAAGAATCAAACTATTCCAAAATATAACTTCAACAAATCTACAACATAAAAAGCGCATATCACCGCCTCTAGTAAATATGCCCACACAAAATCGTATCTACAGAAAAGCTGAGTATCATCTACCATTTAGTCAACTGTGAAAGCAGAATAACATATATCATATTTTCATTACTTCAAATCTCCCCCCAAAATTAAATTTTGGTATTAAATGACCCATGAGATGTTGATATGCCGTTAAATCAAATCAGATCAAGATTTCACGAACCTGAATAAATTATTTTATGATTTTACATGTTAGTATTGAATTGTGGTTATTCCACAATCTTCACCAGTCTTTTAATCATTTTTTACTTTTTCGATTTATTGCTAAAGATTTTTTATATCCTCAGGTACATTTCTAATAATGGATTACGAGTTTTCTATCGTATTAATATCTGGAGAGATACGGTGCTATTCTATTCATTTTCTGTCTTTGAAGATATCGCACAGGCCAATTGTGTGCTGCTTGGGGCGGATATGTCTCTTTTCGACTCATCTGCCTAATGATATTTACGCGCCTAAATCAATATAACGAACCCGACTGAATTCGAACACGGGTCTTCGCTTTCTCATTTGAAGACGTTACCCTTTACACCACCCTCACATCTAAGCTTACAATACCTGCTATTCCTAAGCGGTCATTCGCTCTTGGTACTTATCAGTCTCGACATTGTTTAATTTCGATAACCGGATGAAAACCAATGTTTCAACGTGATGTAGACGTAGAAGAAGCCATGACAGCAATTGGCAAAAGGAAAAAAAGAAAATGAATGAAAAGAGAAAAAACAAAGAGACGCAGGTGTTTTAACCTCACTTTTCGTAGTTTTCCCTCTGTATTTTCATGGGTTTTCCTCTCTTTTCATAGTTTTCCGTCTCTTTTCAACGTTTTCTCTCACTTTTCATAATTTTCCCTCTCTTTTCATGGTTTCCCACTATTTTCATGGGTTTCCCTCTCTTTTCATTGTTTTCCATCTATTTTCATAGATTTCCCTCTCTTTTCATGGTTTCCCACTATTTTCATGGTTTCCCCTCTCTTTTCATGGGTTTCCCTCTCTTTTCATTGTTTTTCATCTATTTTTATAGATTTCTCTCTCTTTTCATGGTTTTCCCCTCTCTTTTCGTGGTTTTCCCTCTCTTTTCATATTTTTTCCTCACTTTTCTCTCTCTTTTCATGGTTTCCCCTCATTTTTCAAGGTTTTCTTCTTAGCATTTTACCAACGACTGTGGATTCTTCTTTGCTTTTGCCCCTGATGCCTGTTTTTATTCCATTTCTTATGAATACTCTCCAACGGGATTTTTCGAATGATTAAGCATCCTCGATTCTAGATCACGATTATAAAATCAAAGTGGGATAAGTAAATCAAGAAATATTCTTATATATAAAATAACCTGAGAAGAAAATATATAACGTACGGAAAAATTGTTTATTTCATTTTTTATGTTCTATATTTCACAGATGTTTTTACACCCTAATTATTAAATAAAACAATCACTTTAGTTTCCTTTCTTGTGCAAATTAATTGAAACAACCGCTTTAGTTTCCTTTTCATACGGTCAGTTTTAGACCTACTGGAGTGTCAAGGTGTAATCGATTTCTATTTTTCCTCAGATTAGGCCATTTGCAGTAGTGTACAGTAATATTAATCTATTTTCGGGGTGTATGATGAAATTTATTTGGCCTTGAAAAATATTTCGTCATCCGTGATTGCATCAGATTTATGATTTAGTTCCCTTCTTATGTCCTTTACCACAGAGACCGACCATGCCACACCCAAAAGAGTGAATTATCCCTATTCCTTTCGTATTCCAAGAGTATGGAGGAAGTTCCTTTTTGACAACTTCTCCCCATGAAATGCTGCTCTGTGGAACAGACTCCCGGAAGAAAATTTTACCAATCGCTATAATCTTCACCCCTTCAAGTCTAGGTTATCTGTCCTGCATAACTCCATGAACTTCCTGTCTTTCCTTTCGCTCATACAGAACCATGCAATAACACTCTACCTTGAGTGGTTTTTTGGCCTTATGGGAATATTTGTATAAAATAACAAAAAAATCTTCTTGCTTCATTACAGTGCTTCATTACGGTGTTGGGGTTAGATGCGTTCCTTGAAAAGTAAACGAATAAAAACTACGAAATATCGAGAGAGACTTTGATGCTTTTGTGTTAGAAATTGTGTCAGGCTCGGGGTGGAAAAGGCAAAAACTAGTATATGAGCCAGTGGGTAAGGTAGGTGAGCCTTGTTACTGCTGAAAAAGGAAAATAAACGGTTTTCAGAAAGACAAAAGAGTCACAAGATGGTATCAGAAGTGACGGATTTGTAGGAGTGTTTAGCAAAATGGAGGATGCAAGCTGGCGGGAAAATGAAAGTAATATCTTATGGAAAGAGACGTGAAAAAAAAGATAGAAGAGAAGGATTGGAAGAAAGAGGGGGTAGGATTGGCATGGAATTTGGGGCTTGTGGGGGCGTTGTTTAGGAGAGGGCAATGAAAAGGACAGAACTCAGCTGAATCATAGAAATGGCAGACATCCCATCAAAAATTAGAAAAAAATAGCAGTAAATACTAAGATAATAACAATCGCTTTATTTTTAATTACAATCACATACATAGACACACACGCGAGTAGATGTTTAAGTTAAAATATGAAATTAATCTCTATTAAATAAATACATTAATATAAATTAATATAATTAAAGCATGAAAAAAGAAATAATATTAAATTAATATATATATTTATATAGAATTAAATTAAATTAAATTCTGTTTAATTTTCAAGTGAATTTTTGATTCCAAAATTCGCTTGAAAATGAAACAGAACTAGAGACTTTAATTTAATTCTATTATTGAATTGGAAGTTTTTAGCTTCTGCTTTAGAAACATGGTAATTCCAGTGTAGCGAGGGAACCATATTTTTAAATAAGTAAATTTATAATATTTATGCTCTGTAGATTTGAATTGTGCCTTGTTTTGTAAAAATAAAAATATTAATAAGAACACCGGATTATATATTTTACTGTTCTTTCTCTTTATTATAATATATATATATATATATATATATATATATATATATGTATATATATATATGTGTGTGTGTGTGTGTGTGTGTGTATAGGTATATATATATATATATTAGGATATTACATTATTGCATCGAAAACTTGCGATTTTGACATGTTTTCGATGTAATATCCTAAAATAAATAATATTACTCTACTTTTGTATTGAACCCTCTTTTAAATTAAATGTTACAAACTTTGGAATTGTACACTATTCGTTCTCGTCTTACCGGGATATATATATATATATATATATATATATATATATATATATATATATATATATATATATATATATATATGTTTGTGTGTGTGTGTGTTATTCGGTATCCCCTCATGCAGGGGCAGTAAAGCGACTACAACACAAAGGGTTAGTGGGGGTGGAAGAAGAGAAAACAGAAACAATAATAATGAGTAGGAAGAGCAAACAGTAATCTGGAAGACAGTAGATAACAATTGATATTGCATTTAAACTTTTGCAGATTGAAGTTGGCGGGAAAGCATGGAGCCGGAAGTGAGTTCCCCAATCGAAAAGTGCGAGAAAAAGAAAATGTTAGCATAGAATTTATGGTTACGTCCAGCCAGCTCACTTGTAAGTTGATGAGATCTCGACGCTAGGCTAATATTGTTCTTAAATAGAAAAATAATAATAATAAAATAATTAATTGTATTAGATAATTTAAATAATATGACAAAAAAAATAACAATGAATTATTATCAAAAATGAAACAAAATGAAAAGAACTTAAAAAATAAAA